TTTTACTAGGAGTTGATTGTTCAAATACATCTAGGAATATAGAGCACCCACCGAAGGTTGCGTTTCGGTAGGAAGGTTACGTGCATATCTGGTTTCCCAATACTCCCCTTCAAATTGGCACATGTAGATTCCGGATGCCCAATTTGCCAAGGAAATATGCGAATTTCTCTTTTCCCAGAGCCTTTGTCAGGATATCAGCCAACTGCTCTGTGGTTCGAACATAGCAAGTAACAATGTTCCCATGCCGTAGCTCATCGCGAACAAAATGATAGTCGACCTCAATATGCTTTGTTCACTCACAGAACACTGGATTCATGGCTATGTGCAAAGCTGCCTGATTGTCACAATACAAACGCGCGTGTTCATCATGCGCCACCCCAAAGGACAAAAGAAGTTTCTTCATCCACTTCAGCTCACAGCTTGTCGTAGCCATTGAACGATATTCGGCTTCTGCAGAGGAGCGCGACACGGTATGTTGTTTTTTTGTTTTCCAAGAAACCGGTGAATGCCCCAGCAGAACAAAATAGCCAGTCAGCGATTGTCGTGTCAATGGGCAGCTTGCCCAATCAGAGTCACAATAGGCATATAGACACAGATCGCTCTCAGATCGGTACAATAGACCTTGTCCCGGATATATTTCATATAACGTACTACGCGCAGAGCTGCATCCCAATGTTCTTGTTGTGGACTTTGCATGAACTGAGCTAGGATATGAACACAATAACACAACTCAGGCCATGCAATAGTCAAGTAGATCAACCGTCCCACTAACCGTCGATACTGATTTTGATTCTCCATCAGAGCGCTCTTTGCCAGCGCAAGATGATGATTCTGTTCAATGGGCACGGATGTTGGTTTGGCTCCCATGAGTCCACATTCGGAGATGATGTCTAGGGAATAATTCCGTTGCGACAAAAATATTCCCTTAGGGCCATGAGCTACTTCAATCCCTAGGAAATATTTGAGTGGGCCCAGGTTTTTCATACAGAAGCACCGATGGAGATATTCTTTGAATTTCACAATGGCAGCAGTATCATTTCCCCCAATAATCAGGTCATCAACATATATCAGCACATGCAAACGAACATTGTGTTTGCAATAGGTGAACAAAGAGTAGTTAGAATATGTTTGAGCAAACCCAAACTGTATCAAGGCCGTTGTTAACTTTGAGAACCAACATTTGGGAGCTTGACGCAGTCCATAGAGAGATTTCTTCAGTTTGCACACTTTTGTTCGATCCTTAGATTTAAATCCTAGCGGCAACTGCATGTATACTTCCTCATTCAAATCCCCATGTAAGAAAGCATTATGTACATCCATCTGATGGAACTCCCAATTCCTAGCGGCTGCCACGACTAAGAAGGTTCGAACTGTTGTCAGTTTGGCCACAGGAGCAAAAGTCTCATTGTAATCCAATCCTTCAACCTGTCTATTCCCGAGAATAACTAGGCGTGCCTTATACCGTTCAATCGTCCCATCTAAATTATATTTGATCTTATAGACCCATTTACTCCCTATGGCCTTTTTTCCGGGAGGTAGAGATTCCAATGTCCATGTATCATTATCCTCCAGAGCCTGGATTTCCTTCCTCATAGCTTCTCTCCATTGCTCACTTTTTACTGCCTCAGAAAAACTGGTAGGCTCGGCTCCTGCAGTGACCGCAGATAAGAAAGCTTGATGTTTAGCGGAGAAGTTAGTACATCTCACATAATTTGCTATGGGATAGGGGGTCATACCTGAGGACTTTGATTCAGAGTTGGCTTGAGTGCGAATGGGGTCTTTCAGACATCGAGCAGTGTAGGTTACATAGGGCTTTAATAAAACAAACAGTGTGTGATGTCGATGTCCCTGCCAAGTTGCTCTTCTAGTGTTGTTTGTGGTGCTGGATCCACACTAATTCTGTCCTCACTGCCATTAGCTTCCACTTTCTGCACATCCCCTCCATTGCCTTGCTTCTCCTCTCTTCTATTAGTATGTTGAAAGCTCTCCCTATCATTCGCACAGATATCCTCTTCGTCACTCCCCCTGTTTTTATTTCCTCTGTGGCTGTGATTAACATCATCATCAACTATAGCCGCAATTGCCGGGCCAGGGTTGTTTTCAAGAGGTACTTCTAAATCGTTGGCATATGGAAATATATCTTCATGGAAGACTACATCGCGGGAGACGAAATATTCACCGCTCTCAACATCATATACGCGCCAACCTTTCTTCCCGTAGGGATAGCCTACAAAAACGCATTTCCTACTCCTCGCTCCAAACTTATCCTTATCTCGAGGGCTCCAATGGGCATAGCAGAGACAGCCAAACACTCTCATTTGCTCGTACCGGGGTGTCGTCCCGAACAGTACCTCATACGGAGTCTTCCCGTCAAGTACGGAAGAAGGTGTCCTATTTATCAAGTATCCGATAGTCAAGACACACTCTCCCCAGAAACGAATAGGCAAACCTGCTTGAAACCTCAATGCTCTCGCAACATTCAAAATATGCCTATGCTTTCTCTCCACTCGACCATTCTGTTGTGCCGTTCCAACATAGGAAGTTTGATGTAGAATGCCATGAGTTTCAAAGTACGACTTCAGGCTTTTAAACTCTGTTCCATTATCACTTCGAACAATTCTGACTTGGTTTGCCAAATTGGCGTTCTGCCATGGCACAGAAATTCTCAACAATATGTGCTACTTCACTTTTTTCAAGTAACAGGTAAACCCACACAGCACGAGAATAATCATCAACAATGGTTAGAAAGTAAACGACACCACCGGAAGCAGGTACTCTATAAGCACCCCATGTATCACAATGAATTAGAGAAAAACAATCATCAGCTTTATGTTTACTTTCAGGAAAAACTTCCCTAGTTTGTTTTGCTCTGTAACAAACATCACATGGCTTATCACTTTCAGGTTTACTGTTCAATTTATCTACTTTAGGAAGATGAGATAATATCTGTTTAGACGAATGCCCTAATCTGCGATGCCACAACTCCCATTCACTTATTCCACTTGTCCGATTTGCTCGAACTGGTGCTGCACCTCTGAACTGATAGACCCCATCACACTGCTCACCCGCTCCAATTAGAGTCCTCGAGGTTTGGTCCTGTATCACGCATAGCTTGTCAGTAAAAGTGACAATACAGTTTCTCTTGCAATAATTTAGCTACAGAAATGAGAGTGTAGTTCATTCTTGGTACGAAAAGCACACGATGCAAATAAATATTTCCACCCAAATGCAAAGTCCCTTCCATCACTGCGGTAGTTTGCTTCCCATTAGGAAGTTCAACCGGACACGACATAATATTTTGGACTTCAATCAACAAATTAATGTCTCCAGTCATATGGTGCGAAGCCCCGGAATCAATTATCTAATCAGTAAAACTTTTCTTACCGGAAAGTTTTTCACCAGATTTATGTGAATTCAGAATATTGAGAAGGGTTGTCCATTGATCTCCGCTCAGCCCCGGAAACCTGCTATGGTCATGATCATTTGTGCTTCCAACTTTCTGTCCTCCACTCTCACTTCCCGCTGCTTGGGTAGCGTTTGCTCTTGCCTTGTTTCCTCGTCCTCGTCCGCCCGAACCACTTCGTCCGCGGCCTCCTCCTTTCCCGGTTGAGCGTGGTCTATCTCCCCACCATTCCGGATATCCAATCACCTGGAAACAATCCTTTGCTTCATGTCCGGATTGTCCACAGTGTGTACAACTCACGCTTTTATCCTTTGTACGTGCAGCAGCTGCTTTTGCACCAGCATGTACTGCAAAACCCACATCATCACTTCGTTCTTCTTTGCTCTTGGCTATACTTTGATGCCTTTCCTCTTGAATGACCATTGCATAGACGCGGTTTAAATTCGGCAACGGCTCTATGCTCAAAATATTCGAACGTACGGTGCCATAAGTTGCGTCGTCAAGACCCATCAAGAACTGATGTACCCTCTCTTCTTCTCGCT